GAAGAGGAGAGGAGGGGGGAGCGGGCGGGGCGCCCACGGAGGCAGGGCGCTGGCTTTGTCAGGGGGAAGGGGATGAAGAGAAGGCAGCGGCTTCAAAGGGCGCATTTCCATAATTGCCTGTAACTTCGGCAAAATAAACCCGCAGCGGAGAAAAGCACAATCTCTCAGCTGAGTGCACTCCAAAGCCCGGCCGGGCCCACTTGTTAGCGGCCAGGGCGGGCGGGGAGGGCGGCTCGCCAGGGAGCAAGAGCCAGGGGCCCGGCCGCTCCAGCCCAACACCGGGCCCGGAGTGAGACCTCACCTGCCTTTGTCTCCCTCTCTCCCGGCACCACCACACACACACATATGCACACATGCACACACTCCGGACTCCTTGACACCACACACACACACACACACACACACGTGAGCACACACACACACTCTCTCTGGACTCCCTGACACCACCACACACATACACACAAGCACACGTGCACACATGCACACACACACACACACGTGTACACATGCACACACACACACACACTCCGGACTCCCTGACACCACCATACACACATGCACACACACACTCTGATGCCACCACACACACACATGCACACACACACACACACACACACACTGGACTCCATGACACCAGCACACATATACACACATATGCACACATACACAAACACATTCTCACATGAACACATAAACACACACTTCTGGGTCACAACGAGCAAGTGAAGGGACGCACACTTGTGCACACACAGAACAGAGGTGGCCACAATCAGGAGGCAAACCGCACCGAGTTACATTTGCATCTGGGAGAACCTTCCGGAAGCGGCTCCTGAGGGAAACGGCCAGGGAGAAAGGCCCCAGCCTCCAGGCAGATGTCCTCCTCTGTCGTGTGGTGGCGTCATTCTGTCCCTCTGGCCTGGGTCACTCCCCCAGCAGCAGGCGGAGGCGAGGCCGCTCCCCCCAAGGCCCACTACCGTCCTGTGCGCACTCTGTCACCCCTACTTCCCCCTGCTTCCCCCTCCAGGGCCAGAGGCCTGTGAGGAACACTGCGCCCACTCAGCACCCTCCTTACTGTTCCTCCCTGAACTGTGGTTCCTGGGAGAAAAGACCTGCTTTTCCGGGGGTCGCCCCAGATACTGTGCCCACCCCTCCACCCCAACTTTCTGGTCTCTCAGCCTCCCACTGTGACACTGGACGGGAGGAATCTTTGTGAGGCAGCTGGCCGGTGCTTTGGAGGGCAGTGTCTGGGGGCACCCCTAACCAGTCATGGCCATGGAAAATGCCCCCAGACACTGCCTTGTGTCCCCGCATTGGGGGGGGGTACCCCTTTGAGATGTGCTCGTAGGACCTCTACTAGGTCTCGGCCCTCCACCTCAGGGAGAGCGGGCTCCTGGGCTTTCTGTCCAGACCATCGGGATGGCCTGGGGTGGGGGGGTAGGAGGGGGCTGGAGCGTCTGAGGGGAGCAGTGTCTGTGTCAAAGCTATGTCGGTCACACGCTCGACGGACCTGTTTAATGTGGTTAGGCTGGCGGGCTGGATCGAGTGACCGTGGTCAGCGAGGGTCAGAAGGCCATAGCTGGGGAGGTCATGGGACCCCATTACCCCCCTCATGATCTTTAGACCCACCCCTTCTCACGGTTGCCTCATCCTACACAACACTGGCGTTGTAAGATAAATGGATCGATCGAATCCAGTCCCCTCCGTGCTGCAGCCGGTGGATGTGGGGCCCGCAGAGAAGTCGGGACTGGGCCCCAGGCAAGTGGGGGCAGCTCGAGCCACAGGCACCATTGCACACGCCTGTCATGACTGCCCGTCTGCCGTGGACGGAGGTGGGGGAGGGGGTGCAAGCAGGAATCACCAGAGGCAGAGGCCGTTTCTAGAAGGAGACAAATCATTAGGCCCAAAGCCAGTTCCTGATGGCATCTCCCCAGTTCCGACCCCAGCATCCAATCTCTCTCTCCCTCCCAGCCTTCCGGAACTCAGGCCCACGTCGGGGGCGGCCTCTTTGGCCCCGATGGCCCCTGGAGGACACGGGCCCTGCCCTCTCCCCGCCTCCTCTCGCTCCCCCTCAGCCTCGCCTGCTCTCACCTGTCCACGCTGCCTTCCCGCTGGAGCCCACGTCCCCTCTCCCCTCCCTGGTTTCCACCGAAAATAAATTCAACCGGAGGCCGGGGACGCGCGGTCCCAGAGGTGGGCCGCCACTTAGGGAGATAATTTTATTCCCTGGCCTGGCCGCGCGCCGCCTCCCGGGGCTCCGGGCGGATAATGAGGGGAGCGGTGACATACACGCTTGCCTCTGACCTAATTGATTATCCCACACACCTTGGAGCGCTTTGCATAACCAGCCCCGACAGCGGGAGCCCCTGCCTGGCCCAGTGATTGACACATTCTATTTCTAATTGAAGCTTAATCAGGACCAAGGATGAAATTCCCATATCCTTCCCCTCTCTCTCTCTCTCCCTCTCCCTCCCTCCCTCCCTCCCTCCCTCCCTCCCTCCCTCTCTCTCTCTCTCTCTCTCTCTCTCTCTCTCCTTTCCCCCTCCTTCTCTCCCCTGGCTTCCAGGCTCCTTTTTAAACCCCAGGGCTGGACAATAAAGGGTGGGGGCTGTTCCTAGGGCCCCTGAGAGGAGGGAGAGGAGGGGAGGACTCAGGGAGGACTCGGGAGGAGGCTCTGGGAGGAGGATGGAGAGCCCTCTTCCTGGCGAAATGCAAGTGCAGCAAAAGGGAGCCGCCTCCTCTCCCGTCTCAGCTCAAAGCCCACGGGGACCTTTTATCCTTTCGATTACCCCGTCTCTTTGGGGTCAACCCGAGGCCAGGTGAGGGGCCCGTGTGCTCTCTCCTCCCACAGAGGACATGCACACACGGGACGTGCTCCTGGGTTCCCCCGCTCTCCCCTGGCACCCGCGCCTCCTGTCCTTGCAGCGGGCAGGGCGGGTCTCCGTGGAGGACCCTTACCCCTGGGATGGGACCGGCTGCAGAGCACGGGGAGCCCAGGGTTTTCACTAGAGAGAGCAGGACAGGCCCTCGGACCTCTGGGGGCTCTGCTTGTCCCCCCACCCACTCCCCCCAACTCCCTCTGTACAGAGGCAGGCTTCCCCCTCGGGGGTCTTCGGAGGGGGGGGGCTGCCTGGCTTGGCCATCCATCACCCCCTCTCCCTGCTGCTGCACCCCAGCCCGGCCTGGGCAGTGCCCCGTTCCCAGGTTCTGAGATGCCTCTGTGCAGACACCTCCCGTTTTTGGCGGACGGGAGGGGCTGGGCAGAATGCTGCGGGGAGCCTGAGGAGTGGGGTCTGAGATCCTGGAATAATAATTGCGAGATGAGGGTGATTTACGTTCACCTACCGCAGGCCAGCCCCCCGACATGCGCCCAGGAGCACCCTTCCAGGCGGCTGTTCCCTTCAGAGGGGAGGACACAGGACACTGAGGAGGAGGGGGGCCGGCCGGGGTGCTAGGCCTGTGCCCCAGAAGCTTGGGAGGCACCAGCTAACAAAAGGGCTCCCTCCAGGGGCGGGGGCAGGGTGACCTGCAGCCCGGGTTCAAGGCCCAGGGGTGGGGTGCCCAAGATCAGAGCTGAACCCCAGTTGCCAGGGAAGGCCCCCCACTTTAGGGGGAGAGAAGGCGAAGGAAGCATGGGGAGGAGGCAGAGCCTGGGGTTCTGGAGGGGGTGCTGCCTGGCTTGGCCATCCATCACCCCCTGGGGTTCCGTCTCTGCTCACCCCACCTCTGTAACCTACGAGGGCCTGCAGGGAGCTCCACACGCCCCGCCTGCGTGGGGGTCTTGAGGGGGGCGCTGGCCGCTGTACCCCACCTAGACCAGTCCTTGCCGGGCAGCCTCTGCTCCTGCCCAACCTCCAAGGCGGCTCTGGGGGTGCAAACTCTGCCCAACCCCCCCCCCCAACCCGGAGACCCACGGGGTTCTCACACGCCTCACTATTGGGGGCCAACACTAGCCTCCGGCAGCCTTCACAGATACACGAATTGCATGTGGGGAGGGAGAGGCCAAACAGGTCCCCCCACTTTGTACCCCAAGGCATCATCATCATCATCATCATCATCATCGCTCTCCCAGAATTCCCTAAGCTCCGAGTCAGAGCTGGGCAAGGCTGGGGCCGGAAAGAGAAAAGAGGGTGCGGCCGGGAGGCAATGGCCGGCGGAGAGGCCACGGTGACCGGCCAGCGCCCAGCGGCCTCTCTGTCCTGTAGAGGGAGCTCTAGCCCCAAATTTCCCGGCTCCCTCCCTGGCCCACCCGCCCCTCTCCGGCTTCCAGGGGCTGGGCTGGATCCCTGCTTGGGTCCGACCCACCACCTGCACCCTGACCTCCGAAGGCCGCCCTGGCAGGGCATCTGGGGAAACCCACAGGGGTGCCGAGATGCACAGATGCCACCAGGCCCCCAACTTTCAATTCGGGCTGGACCGAGTCTCCAGGGGGAAAGGCTGAGCTGCCCTAGGCTCCTGGCTCCTCCCTCCCCTCCTCCTCCCCCCCCCCCCAACCCCACACTCCTGCTTCTGTGAGGAGTCTGGGGGTGCCCTGTGGTTGGAAGGGAGCTTGACGCTGGGCTTGCACCCTACACCCCTTCTGTAAGAATGAATCAACCTCAACTGTGCCTATCTAAGAATGGGGGTGCAGAAGGGTGAGCACCTCCCAACCTACCCCTCTGTGCCCACACCTCCTCTAAGTGGGCTGCTCCGCAGAGGATGCCCCAAGACCCTGCGGTGGGGTCCCAGGACTGGCGGGTTGGGCCCCGTTTCCCCTTGCCCACCTGTCTCCTGGGCCTTTCTCTCTGGAGGGCCCCCCCACCACGGTACTTCTCGGGGGACCCTCCAGCCTCACCGCCTCTGCGCCTCCACCTCTGCTCTCCTCTGGTCTCAGGGTCCAGACTCCCCCCTCTGGGCCTTCTCTGCTGATTCCAAGGGCTCTTTAAACAGGAGGGTGGGGTGGGGTGGGGGACAAAACAGAACAGACAGCAGACAGACCGCTCTGGGGGCAGACAGACAGGCGGTTATAGTCAAAGTGGCAACTGCTCATTTATTTAGCCAAAAATAGATAACTTTCTCTCGTACAATTTGGTTCACACATATGTACATTCCTCCAGTCTATATACAAACAAGCCAGACACGCCGATTCTCACCGAAGCACCACTCCCCTCGGTCCACCTCGCAAACCCGGTTCCCAAATTCCTCCGGCTAACGTGGGGGGGACAGAAGTGACTTTTGTACTTATTTTTATTTCTTTTTGTTTGTTCTGTTTTCTTTTTTTAAAGGTATTCATACACAGACATGCTCACGAGTCATAACTATACAGAGCGATTACTTTTTTTTTTTTTTTACAATTATTACAACGATTAAAAAATGAAAATCAGAAGAACTAAGAGGAGGAGAGGGCCGACAAGACCAGTGCAGCATCCAGGTGGTTCTGGGGCCTGGAAGAAAGAGGCGGTGGTAGCCAAGGACTGGGGAGAGCCAGGGGCACCCCTGCTGCCTAGGGCTGGGAGACCCCACAGGGGCTGGGGCGGGGAGCAGGAGGCGGCTTGGCCATGTAAAATGATGTCAGCGGTGGATGTGGGTCTTCCCATGTAACTGTGACTGGGGGTAGGAGGCTGAGGACTGAGATCCGGGGCTGGCCAGGCAGGGTGCTCGGACTGGGGTAGGGGTATGGCCAGCTCTGGGCCCTAGGGGGACAACAGAGGGTGGGGTTCCTCCCTTTTGAAAAGCCTTTCCCAGCTGCGTCACCCCCGGGGGCAAAAGCCTGGCTTCTCACCATGAATTTCCTTTTCTGGCCCTCACCGCCCCCTCCCCACGTCGGGGTCTCTTACCGCCTGGGCACGGGCTGGAAAGCTGTCTTGAGTAACTTTTTCTCCACTTCCAAGGCACTACAGCGATCTAAGGGCAGCGGGGAAACAAAGGGGGGCCTTCAGAGCTCAGACGCCAGTGCCCCAGGGAGGGCCCCGCGCTCCGGGGGTCCTGCCTGTCCCCTCCGGCAGGGCGCACCCCCAGGCCCGCCCCGCACTCACCGGCTCCGCCCTCGGGCTCCGCGGGCCGGGCGAAGGCTGCGGCGGCGGCCGGGTGGCCCGCGGCCCCGGGCAGCCCCAGCAGGTGCGGCGGGGCCGAGCCGAGCAGGGAGAGCGGGTGCGGGCGGGCGGCGGGCGGCGCGCCCGGGAACGGCCGGTGGGTCCAGGCGGGGAACTTGCCCAGCGGCGCCGCCGACACCAGTCTGTGCGCCACGGCGGCGGCGGCCGGGGAGAGCTGCAGGGCGGCGGGCGCCACGGCGGCTCCGGGGGGAGAGCCTCCCGCGCCCGGAGGCGGCGAGCGGCGCGGGGTGTCCGGGCTCGTGGCCGTCTCGGCCAGGGACCAGATCTTGGGCTTCTGCAGGCTGGAGGCGGAGGCGGGCGCAGGGGCGCAGGGGTCCAGGCCCGCGGGGGGCGAGGGCGGGGACGGCGGTGGAGCCACCGGGGCCAGACGCAGGGCCCGCAGCGGGCGCTCCTCCGGGCCCTCGGAGCTGTCGTCCGAGTCGCTGTTCTTGGAGTCCGAACCGGGCCCCAGGCCCAGGGCGTCGCCGTCCCTGCGCGCAGCGGCCCCCGCCAGGCCCAGCTCAGGCCCCGCGGCCGCGCCGTCCACGTTCTCCAAATCGATCTCCTCGTCCTCCTCGCCGCCGAGCTCCTCCTCCTCCTCGTCCTCCTCCAGCTCGCGGTGGTGTTTGCCCTCTTCCTCCTCGTCCTCCTCCTCCTCGTCCTCCTCGCGCTCGCTGCCGCAGGCGGTGCCCTCCTCCTCCTCCTCCCCGTCGGCGCGGCTGCGGGGCGCCCAGGTCATCTTGTTCTCCTTCTTGAGGCGCCGGCGCGCGTTGGCGAACCAGGTGGACACCTGGGTGAGCGTCATCTTGGTGACGATGGCCAGCATGATCTTCTCGCCCTTGGTGGGGTAGGGGTTCTTGCGGTGCTCGTGCAGCCAGGCCTTGAGCGTGCTCGTGCTCTCGCGGGTGGCGTTCTTGGGGCGGGACGGGTCCCCGAACTGGGGGTGGTACTGGCCGTAGGGGTAGAAGGCGGGGTGCGTTTGCGAGAACGCGGCTGTCTGCACCCCGGGGCTGTCCTTCAGCTCATACTGTGCGCCCTGAGCGCCCATGGAGAGAAGGAAGAAGGGGACATGGAGAGAAGGAAGGGGGGGAGGACATGGAGAGAAGGAAGGGGGGGTCAGGGAGAGAAGGGAGGGACAGGGAGAGAAGGAAGGGGGGAGGAGACAGGCGCGCGGATGAGCCCTGGCCGGGGCCGCCTGCCCCCCTCCCCTGCCCCCCCCCCCCCCGCCTCCTGGGCCCCGGGCTCCTCTACTGGGCGCGCGCTCACCGCGTCCGGTGGCCCCTCTCCAACCCGCGCCCCCCACCCCACCCCACCCGCACCCCCAGGTCCCCGGGGCGCTTACCAGCTGCGGGAAGAGGGGCAGCTCGGCGGCGTAGGGCAGGAACGCGCCGTAGCCCTGGGCGGCGGCTGCAGCGGCGGCGGCGTAGGGCGCCCCGTACACGGAGGAGAGCACGCTGGCCAGGGACCCCGGGGCGCCCAGCTCCGCGGCGCCGGCCGCCGGGCCGCCGCGGGCCCCCGCGCTGCTGCCGCCGCCTCCCCCGCCGCCGCCGGCGGCCCCCGGGCGCTCGGGCGGGTAGAGGGGGCGGATGTACTGGTATCCGAGCTGCGGGAAGGACATGGTGGCCCGCGGCGCGCGGCCCGGACGGGGAGGGGGCCCGGCCGCCGGGGCCGCCCTGCTCAGCGCCGCCCGCGGGCTCCGGCGCGCATCGGGGGGCACCGGGCCGGGCTCGGGCTCGGCGGCGGCCACCGGGGGGTGGGGGGGTGCTGCTCCGCGGGGCGGCGGCGGCCGGGAGCCGGGTCAGGTCCGGGCGGATCGGCGGAGCTTCCCGGGGCGCCGGGCCCGGATGGACATGTCCGCGGGCCGCGAGCCCCTCCTCTGTTCTGCGCGCCGCGCTGCCGCCTCCTCTCCGCGGCCCGAGCCGCCGCCGCCCGCCGCTCCGGGTCCTCGCCGCCGCCTCTCGCCGCTCAGTGTCGCGCCCGGCTTCCTCCGCCGCCTCTAGTCCTCACCCCCTCCCCGCCCTTCCTCTCCCCTCCCTTCCCCTCCCCTCCCCGCGCTCCTCTCCCCCCGGAGCGCTTCCGCTCCTCCGGGCGCGTTACCTCTCCCGGGCGCTAGGAAACTCCTCTTTCTCTCCCGGGCTCCGGTTCCTCCCTTTTCTGCCCCTTTTCCTTTCTTCTCTCCCCCTCGCTCTCTCTGATCTGTCTCTCCGCTCGCTCCGCGCTGCCCCACCCCTCCCCGGCCACGGGCCCCGGGCGAAGGCGGCCCAAAGTTGCGGACACTCGGGGTGCCGTCCCGGGCAGGGTGGCGGCGGCGGCGGCGGCGGCTGGGGGAAGAGGTGTGCGTCTCTGTCCGTGTGTCCGTCCCCGCCCTCTCCCTCCCTCCCTCGCCCTTTCCCAAATCTCGGGTCTGACGTCGCGCCCTCTTATTCGGCTTTCCCCGGCGTCGCCTTCCCGGGTCGCCAATCGCCGGGGAGCCTGGCCGGCGAGGCCGCCCGCCCCCCGGGGAGCGCGCGCAGGGCGGGGCGGGGCGGGACCCCGCGCTCCGGTGCCTCCCGCCCCCTCTGCGCCCCGAGGCCCCGGCGGAGACGCGGGGACCGGGGGTGGGGGGTGAGCCCCGGGTCAGCTCGCCCCTCCCCTCCGCACCTCTCCGCGGGCCAGGCGCCCAGCCTGGGTCCGGACGAGACCTGGGTCCGGGGCCCCCTTTGGAGCACGCACCCCTGTTCAGCCCGGCCACTCTCCGCAGCCTGGGGAGGGGGAGGGTGTGCGCACTGTGCCTTCCAAGGCCACCTCAGCACCCTTGGGGGCGAGGCTGCTCCCACCCAAGAGGACCGAACCCTGAGATTAACCTCCTTAAGGGGTCCGGGTGCGAATTTCTTATCAGAATGGAGGGCTGGTCTGGGGGAGGGGGTGGGGGTGGTGGGCGGGGCGGTGGAGGGCTGCAGGGGGGACGCCCTGGGGGTCCCCGAGCGCCCAGACTGGAAAGTGGAGCCAGCCAGCGCCCTAAAATGGGCGTGGGAATGGGGGAGGAGCCGGGCGGCGGGGCTCCGGGAACTTTCCAGAGCCTTAGGAGAAGTTGGGACGCGGGCATTTTCCGTGCATAGACGCGCTCCCGCGCCCCGTGTCCTTTCTGCGTGGGTCCCCCCGCCGTCCCGGGGTGGGGATGCGAGGCCAGACTGGGGGTTTGACGGAAGCGTGAATCCTGACCCGAAGCGGCAACCCTGGTCCCCCGGCGCCCGCCTCCACGACGGAGCGGGATCGGAACCCCGGCCTTGCGGCGGCGGCTCCGGACGCAATGCTGGCGGCCTCCGAGGGGCTCGGGGCGCACAGGCCGGGCTCGCGGGGGGCCCCGGGGATGGCATGGGTGCGGCGGCCACTCTGCCACGGAGACTCCAGCGCTGCTTGGAGGCGGACACTGGCCACTGCGCGCGGATGGAGATTGGACTCGAACCCCAATTCCCATAGAATCTCAGGTGGGGTCTGAGGGTCTTGGCTCAGGCTGTGTGGGGTCCCCACAGCTCTAGGGGAGCCCACTTAGGGAATGAATTCCCGGGGGGGGGGGCCCTCATTGTTCACCCCACCCTCCCTCCAGTCCTCTTCCCACCAGCCTTTGCAGAGGGAGGCCACCCCAGGAGGTGGGAACGCCTAGGACATGGGGGAGGGGGGGACCAGGGAAAGTGGGGAGGGGGCATCAGGCGCAGGGTTCTACTGGGGAAACTGACATGTCGCCTTCTCAAGCAAAGTCCAGCTGCTCCCCTCCCCTCCCCCCTCCTCCCCATCTGATGTTTCTGGGCGCCCTCTGGGGCCTCAGCTGGAGTCGCCCCAGAAGAAGGCGGTATTTGGGGGGAGCTCTGGCTTGGAACTATTTCCCCGGCGCCTGATTTCGTTTCCAGTTAAAACTCTCCTCCGGGAAGTGGCCTAGGGGGATGCCGAGCTCACCGCCCCAGGGAGAACCAGGGGGTTCAAAGTGGAGGGCAGCATGGGCTTCCTTCAGGCCCTAGAGTGTTTCTCCCGGGCTCAGACCCAAGCCTGAGACCCTGGAGTGTGCCCCGACCAGGAGGGAGGCGGGAGGAAGACTGGAGCTGCCAGGGAAGTGCCCGGATGGATGATATGCCCGAAATTGAACTCAGCAGCCCTGCCAGGAGGAGGAGGAGGAGGAAACAGTGAATCCTGGAGAGGTTTCTAAGGCTCCGCTGGCCTGCAGGAGGCGGGAAAGAAGCCCAGGAGGGGAGGAGGCTGTGCTCAGGGAACCAGCCACGCGGGGCAGGGGCCGCCATGGCCTGGAGGGTAAGCCTTCAGACCCAGACCCAGATGGGGACCCAAGACCTTGGATGGATGAGCTCCCTCCTGGCAGCCCGGGTCCTAAGAAGCAGCAGCCTTTCCCCTGCCCTCACCTTCCGCTCCGATCATCCCAGCCCCACGACAGGACTGGGCACCCCGGGCAGCGGAACCCCAGCCAGGCGCCAGCTCCCCAACTCCACTGGCCCCCGGAGCCTGGCTCAAGACTCAACTCGTGGCGACGCGGAGGACAAGCGAACCTTTCCCGGGGCTTTTTAAATCCACGGGATGGGGGTTCACAGGGACACACCCGCCCAGGGCAGAGAAGCAGGCGCCCTGGGAAGCGGGTTTGGAAGAGGCTGGCGCACGCACACGCGCTGCACGCAAACCCCTCTCCATCACCTCGCCTTCTTCCAAGGTTCCCAGCGCAGGAAGCACCAGAGGCTCGCGGCCGAGGCTCTCTAGGCGCGTCCCGGGGCGGGGGGAGGGCACCCAGGAGGTGTCCAGAGCACAGGCTGGGCGCAGCTAGCGCAGGCGGGATGCGCATGCCACGGAACCCCGCACGGAAAATCGAGCCCCTTGGGGAGCCGCCGCGAGTCACCAGGTCCACCGTCTGCCCCCGCTTCCCCCAGCCTCGCGGACTACAGTCTCGGATGGATCTCTCCGAGGAGGAGGCCCGCCTTCCATCCTCGCCTCCCAGGCCTGGGAGCCGCGGGCTGCGGGGCGGCCCAGAGCTCCCTGCGCTTCCCGCAGAGGCCGGCGCGGCTCCGAGCGCGCTCCCACCGCTCCCTCCCACCCCCCTCCCCGCGCTCGGGTTACAGGTTAATGAAATGCTCGTTTTCCTCAGTCATTTGTTTTGTTTTCCTGCAAAGTTCTGATAAGTAGCTAACCAACGAAGCTTGTAATTACAATCTTACAGAAACCGGGCCGATCTGTATATAAATCTCACCATCCAATTACAAGATGTAATAATTTTGCACTCAAGCTGGTAATGAGGTCTAATACTCGTGCATGCGATAATCCCCTCTGGATGCCGGCTTGATCAGATGTTGGCTTTGTAATTAGACGGGCAGAAAATCATTATTTCATGTTCAAATAGAAAATGAGGTTGGTGGGAAGTTAATTTCTCTCCGCTCTGTGAAGCGTAGACAAGAATTTAATGATTTAATTACAGTTGTAAGCCCTTTCCATGAGACTTAAATTGAGCTGAGAATATTTTTTTTTCCTCCTCTCTCTTAGCTCGCTCTCTCTCCCCCCCTCTCTTCCGCATTCTCTCTCTCTCTCTCTCTCTCTCTCTCTCTCTCTCTCTCTCTCTCTCTCTCTCTCTCTCTCTCTCTCTCTCTCTCTCTCTTCTCTCTGTGATTAGCAGCTGCCTGGCCATCCAAGTGCGTGGTGGCCTGGTGTCCCCACGGGGAGGGATTTGCATCTGGCCAGGAATCTGAACCCCAAGATCCCAGGAGGCCTGGCAGGCGCCTGCAGAGCAGCTTAAGAACAGGCTGCCTCTGGCATTGGACTTCCAGCCATTCCCTGGGTCCGGAGAGCCACTGAGAAACTTTGCTAACTTGGCTGTCTGCAAGGGAGGGAAAAAGACCAGGCAAGAATGGCCCCGGTAGGGGCAGCCGAGAGACGTGAGGGGTGGGTGCCCAGCCAGGCCCCAGCACCCTGGCCGCCCTGAGGGCTGTGTGCCCTGCCACCCACTCCTGTGCCTCCTCCACTGTGTCCCACAGGGTCTCCCGGCAGCCCAAACGGCCGGGATTGAAACACACGGGCCCTCCCTCCGCAGGAGTGATTTTATTTATTTATGTATCTTATCTCTGCGGGGTCACCCTTTCCCACCTGAGCCTTCGTCCTCTCACCCTCCTTTGTTTTTCTCTGAGGTCCGCCTGTCTCCCCCACTCCCTACCTATCCCATTGGGGGGCGGCGTTCATTTTCCTCTTCCCTCCACTCCCTCTTTCGTTGTTTTATTTCCGCCCCTCTCTGGACCGCTTCTCAGTTATATTTTCCCTCCGCTAGTTTGCTCCCCGTCCCTCTTCCCTTATTTTATATCCTCCCTGTTCTCTCTCCCTGACTCTGGGCCTGTGTCCCCCTCCCCAGCCTCATCTCTGGTCCCCTCTTTCCTCCCTCCCTCATTCGAATCCTCTCCTATTTCCTCTGCCATGATTCCGTCTGTCTCTCAGGTTTTCCTCCTTTTCGAGCATGTATTTTCTCTCTTTTCCTCTTCCTGTCCCAGGTCTGCCCCCTCCCTCCCTGGATCTGGCTCCCCCCCCCCCCAGCGCCCCCTCCTCATCCATCTGGGTAGATGAATTTGTCTCCTTATTGGATGCCAAGGCCAGAGCCCCGGTGATGGGGCTTGGCCAGCCTAGTGCCTTTTCTTCATGCATATTGAGGAGATGGTAATGAGCGCATTTGCATGGTTGCATGGAAATGCTGGGTTTCTTGCCTCAGCTCTGAAGGGCTGCTGTGGCAGGGTA